ACAGTTAGAATCAATCAGCTTAATAATAGGAGAGTTATGAATGTTTGAAATATGAGATCAGTGTAGCTATGCGATTCTCAAATTGGCAATGTTGTCAGTGGATTAACAATACTCCCGTTAGTCGTGTACACAATTATCATTAATTTATGTTTTGTTTTTATTGTCGTCTCCCTTTTGGTCACTATTCAAAATATAGGCCTCTTATAGATAATGTATTAGGTCTTCTAAAAGAAGGAAAAAACATCCCGAGTCATTCCTCTTTGAGAGATGAATCTATATTTTATCAATGTTGTGTTTTGGAATAAATGAGAAAATTGTCTGGCATTGCATTACAGAGACTTTCCTGATTCAGAAAATTTACAGTTCAGATACGTATACTGATTACAACTTTCCAAAAGTCAAATTTCTGTTAGATTTTGTCCGATTTTATTCCAATTTTCACATGTCTGCTTCCCTGATTTGTCTGCTTTCTTTGAAAGTTCTTTACTATGAAGGTTGAATTCTATTCATGGACAATACAATAAGGACGCGCTCTTGCGCCTAAAATTACTTTAATGACGACACAAATGTCACATTGACATGAAAATTATAAACCGCGTGACCCCCACCGTGAGATCAAATTTGCTTTCTCTTTGTAAATTGCCTAAAATATGGGATTTTAAATGAAGTTAATTGTCTGGCTTGTGGACGAATTGCAAAGCATGTAAAGAAAAATATTTTCATCGTTATGCATGAACACTAGACAGACATCAGTGACGTATCCAGGGGCCGGGGTGCTTTCAAATGATACATTTATCACAGCAATCCACAACCCGCTTCACTGAGCACCATTGTTTTGAAAATGGCATGTACAAATCCGTTTGGAGAAAGAAAAAAAATGTTAAGATTACATGTAAGCATGACCTGAACAAAATGTAAACTTGAAAACCCAGTGAGTGGTAGTTTTCATACGGTTCTTTAAATAATGAGGACATTAATTGTTATGACAAGAGATTTCTGCATTTTTTCAGAAATTTAATTTTTTTCAGAAGAGCAAGGCATTCAGTCAGGTGAATGTTCAGCAAGAACCGTATATTTTGATAAAGGGGAAGGTATATTCCAATGGGCACATGTAGGCACAACATGAAATATCGGAATATGTTTTTTCTCTATCGGATGGGCACCCCTTCCAATAACAAAAGGTACACATTTTCATTGCTCTATGGTGAGTAATCGATTTGGGGGAAAACTAAGGGTGTGTGCCCCTGTCATCCCGGAAATGAGTATTGTTTATTTAACAGTCCCTAATGATCCAATCACAACGGAATACTTTTAAAATGCTTTTCATAAAAATGATCATTTGTTTCCACACCATAATCAAACCTTAACTTCCATGAAATTAATTGAATATTTATGTACGCTTTAGGATAACTGTTACGGAAACTGTCTCACTGCTCTCGTAACTGGATGTTAACACTCAGTTTCTCTCAATGTATGCTTTCTAAAATTTGTTTACAAGGCTCTAGTCTCCCTCGAACATCAACATCACAAGACCATGGGTGATTATAACAAGGAAAAGAAGAGATGGGTCGATGGATTTCAGTTCCATTCATTAACTTTTATTTTCGGAAGAAAGGCAGCTCAATCTTTAAAGTTGATAATGATACATCTAATCATGCTCTTTAGTCCTTGCCTTAAGTTAGACATTTAAAGAAAATTACAAATCATTAAACACCATAAAGCTTACAGGTGACAATCGTATACAGTTTTAGGGCAACTTTGTAACGGTCAATACAAAGTTAACACAAATAAAATCACCTCTCAGGATCTGGGATATACCAGCGCTTCGCCAGAAAATTTAGCACTCTTTTATTGACGACACATTAGACACAAATCATGCGTGATTATTCTTACTAAACTCACACCATTTATAATAGTTCACAAGGTAATTATTATACAATGATTTTCTTTAAAAAAATTATAATTTGTTTTCACGGCATATCTTGGCTTTTATGAAATGATCTGTTTAATTATGTACGCTTTTAGGAATTACATTACGATGTATAACATTTTGAATTGGATATGAATAAGAATTTACACCTTGAAATCCCTTAGTATGTGTAGAGAACTAACCCACCATTTGTTAGTAATAGACTGATAAGTAGAAAGATACAAATATTTGTTTAAATTACATTTAATTTCTACACTTGAAGAGATACATAGAAATATGCTTAAAACACGCTTAAAAAAAAACTCAAATAACAATTCTGAGTAAATGCTCTCGCCCTTATACCGTTTAGAACAATATATGTACAATTCTTAAAAAAATACAAAGATATGTGAACAAAAACTAATTGATGATGATTTGTTTCCACAATGTATACAACTTTGATATTAAAGTAGGTATAGCATTGCTCATCGGACATGTTGGATATGCACAAAAAGAAAATGAGACAATTAAAATCATAAGGTATAAACTCACCACTTGTTTGTAAATAAATGGGTAAATGGGTAATTAGAAATGTACAAGGATAACAAGCACTTATATGACTATCTACAATTTAAACGATTGAATGAAAGACACAGACAAAATAATACCATGTTTTACAGGCAAAATAAATGTTATATATTTGATAAAAACTGAATTATTTTCCTTTTCCGCTATTCTAGAATAGTATATTTACAATTCTGGAGAAAGAAAGAAAATTAACAATAATTTACAAATGTGTTCAAGGAAATGTTTCTTTGTTTTCAACGTTGCTAGGTAATAATAATAATAATAATTACAGTGCTTATATAGCGCCTAACACTTACTTTGTCAGAAGTCTCTAAGCGCTCTACAATAATGCAGCATAATTACCCTGGCTTTAGCAGTGCAGCTGTTACGCGCGCTGCGTTTCAAGGAATAACGGTAGGCCCTTCTGTGTCATTAGGAAATCTACACGCAATACTAAAGCGATATGAAAAAGACTAGTATTACACAAAATGAACCCAACCATTATTGCTTATGTTCAACTGTCTATGTGATTGTATTGATCAAGGTGCCAAAGTAAAGAAAAGATGACAGACTGCAACTTGTGCATAACCGGATAAATCAGTAATCATGTTGTGATTGCATCAATATTTAATACAATAGGAACTACCTACGAAATATTAACCTAAGGCCTTGTACGTCACCTATTGAAATGTGTGAACATGGCAATGACGTATTAAGCTGATTATGATTTCCATGGGACATACAATAGGGTATTGAAATCCCCTTTGAGTTGAAATTTCGAAAATAGTTGCGGTCGTGTTATTTTATAGAATTGAATCTGCGTTTCTTTGTTGTGACTCACGCTGTACTTATGTACATTCATTTGTTGGATAGTGCTGCATGGAAATATATAGCAACTCTAATTAGATATGTATAGAAAAATGACAACATGAAATTATGAATTATGGTTACGGAATATACTCATTACCTGTTGGTCATAAAATTAGTCCGTAAATATATAGGCTAATATAAACTGTATACAATGTAAATAACTGAGGCGAAAACGTAAAGAGAAAAAAAGAAATAATCTTTCAAAATACAATAATAATGTGACTAACTAGCACATCTTCTTTTTACACCATTTTAGAATAGTCTACATGGTCTATATACAATTCTGTTACAATATAAGACATTTACAATTTACTCAGTGAATAAGGCACTGTATTGGTCAGTGGTTTTCACGGTAAAATAAATTATGATATCCAAATATGCCTACATATAAACGTTGTTAGGCAGGCCACTATTAGCAGTCGTAAATCTACTGCAATATTCACCAGACATGTATAAACATTATAGATAATCAAAATAGCAGCAAACAAACTTGAAACGGGCGCAGAACACTCCTTTTAAACTAAAGTATATATTTTGATAACATATTATCACCTCTCTCAATCAAAATAATCTATGTTAGTCACAAGAAATTTACATTAAAAAATATATTTTGTGAACATTACTAAATTTATGAAAAGAATCATTCGTTTTTAAACAATAATGACATTTGCCTCACATTTTCATGTACGTAGTCTCAACACGAATGGTATGTATAAGTTAGGAAGGTATGATGAAGTGATAGAATCAAATGTCTATTCCGAATTCACATACTGCTTGCATTTTATGAGATACATGTACATAAGAATATACAAATTTGCGTATTACGTAATCAGAACATGATTCCTACGGGATATACATAAGGCTATTGCAATTACCCTCAAGTTGAACTTAAAAAAGTTAGTTGCGATCAATACGAGTAGGTTCATAAATAAATGAAACAAAGAAGTCAATCATTAATTTCACATTTGAGCGCTCTTGTGCTCCTTGACCAGCGAGGTACTGAACTACATCAAGATGACCATGGCGTGAAGCACAGTGAAGAGGTGACTCACCATCATTAGGGACTTTTAGATTTGCACGTCGACATATAGTGAACTGCTACGTGATGACGTCATTGCAAGGCAAGGCGCATGCGTCAGGTACGTCGTCTCAGTCGTCGACTATCAGAATCAAGTACGCGTCCACCTACATTTTCCCGTCGTCCTAAATCTAGAACGCCGTGCACTTTTTTTCACAAACGAGACGTCATCTTAAGCCTCATGATGAATGTGGAAAATTTTGTCTTTGAGCAACAACAGTTTTCACGAAACTGAGGTCAGTTTTTTTTCAAATGTTAGGACCCCCCTATTGGAAAATCCTGGGTCCGCCTCTGCCCTTATCTCTATTCTCATTAAAATTTGTTTGTCTTGAACTGTGAAAGTTTGATTGGTATGTTGTAGCATCCGTAGAAAGCTTTCATAGCTAGTGACAGTGGCAGTGTGCATGAGCTTCGCCTTCACACCGCCCAGCAGGCTGTTGTCATGACGGTATGGTACGCCGGGTCCTTGCTAGCGGAATCTCCTTTTTCGCCGCGCCGTTCTTGACTTCATCACGCTTACTTCCTGTCGACGCATATCGTCGATTGAAATCTAAAAGATTTCTTACTGTATTCAACAGGGGCAGTTGACTACGTTGACACGCATGACCAGTGGATGTTCACGCTGTTCTCGTCCACTCAATCTAAAAGTCCCTATTATTGCCGCTCTAAAAATGTGCCCCTCGACTAACGAGGTACTGAACAACATCAAGATGACCATTGCGTGATGCACAGTGAAGAGGTGTCTGACCATCATTACCGCCGATCTCTACACGTGCTCCTCGACTAACGAGGTACTGAACTACATGAAGATGACCACCGGATGATGCACAGTGAATAGGTGTCTGACCATCATTACCGCCGATCTCTACACGTGCTCCTCGACTAACGAGGTACTGAACTACATGAAGATGACCACCGGATGATGCACAGTGGATAGGTGTCTGACCATCATTACCGCCGATCTCTACACGTGCTCCTCGACTAACGAGGTACTGAACTACCTGAAGATGACCATTGCGTGATGCACAGTGAATAGGTGCCTGACCATCAATACCGCCGATCTCTACACGTGCTCCTCGACTAACGAGGTACTGAACTACCTCAAGATGACCACCGTATGATGCACAGTGAATAGGTGTCTGACCATCATTACTGCCCTTCTCAACCTGTGCTCCTCGACTAACGAGGTACTGAACTACGTCAAGATGGCCATTTAACGCTGCCATGTTAAGGGGTGTATCGATCCTATTTGGCTCTTTTACTGCTCTATGTGCCATGTTTTGCTCTGTCTTAATTGGACCCAATTGTAAGCATAACTGAAGGATATTTCTTTGTTTGTTTCGTGTTTGTCAAAGTCACCTTTGCGTTCTGTAAATCGTTCTCGGTCGAGACAATAAACGTCAATGAATTTATCCGCGCTACAGCCTGATAGGTATATATATCGTTTTCTGTTACCTTGCAGGTTTAAACTTTTCGAAGCATACTAATGATTATGCATTGGACACTACGGCAAAAGAATAGTTCCAACTTGATAAAGTAGTACTTGCGAGCATAATTGCAATGTTATAATTAAAGAATCCACATCGGAGAGTCCTGGCCTTGTCGGTACAAGTGTGATGTCTCCACTTTATTCGTCTGATTTGATTCATATAAACCATTGTACTCCGGTCCATCCAAATATAACATCAACGATCCCTTTAATTTTCTCAAAGATGCAATTGCAGATTGTCAAATCAGCTCACAAATCAGCTGCTTTTCATCCGAAGAATTCACTCGCTGTTTGATACGATGGTATATAACACAAAGGTAACATTGATATGAATCATTTTGATCTGCTCCCAGTTTCCTAACTTAAACTAACCTATTGAACAGACATGGAGAAAACGGCTGATCCTTTTGTGAGAAACGGGCGTTGGTTTGTAGAACATCATCATTGTAGTACGTCATCATGACGTGATCTAAGCTCTGATGGAATGTACAATGCAAAAGTACATGAAAAGAGAAGATATGCATGGTTGACTATTTAGAATGAGCCGAAACCAGCTAGTCGCAGTGATATTTACTGACAAAATTTGTATTGAGCTTACCCACTTAATCGCACAAGTTTTTATCATTTTCCGATGATACGTCTACGTATGACTGTTGACGTTAATGCAGCACAAACATCCTCATCCACTAACGAGCTATGAAAACAAAGGAGTCCTGCCCGAATGCCGTGTTATATGATACCATGACGTGTAATGCTCAAATCGCGAAGCAAAGCACAGAGACTGAACTTCTGAAGCGAAGTGACGTGAAGTAACATGAAGTGTGGTTTAAACTGTATATAAACAAATAAAACATAAACAATAATAAATGCCTTGCTTATAAATCAACAATCACAAGCATTATCCAATACTGCTCCATTATAAGCCAAATACCTGAATCTGATTACTACTTATCTGTTTTAATTAGCTAGACTTCATCAATATTCATGAACATATCATACAAAACATCCTATGTACACCCACTGGCTGTCCATGTCACGAGTCAGATTCCACACAACTCAAAATTAACCATGCCAGTTTTGTGGCTAAATCATCCTTTCGCATTACCAAGTAATTTACCTACAGCTAACTTGCCTGATAACCTCATAACATGTTTATCCCTGAACTTACGTGTCATTATTTATGTTTCATATGTGCCTTATATACATCACACATAGCTGCATCGCTATCATGGCTGTGTTTTAAAACCTGTTTTTATTGATCTCAACATTTCAAACACCACTGTACAAAACTAAACTGATTTCACTCAAAATCGGTACTTTAGTGACAATTGATGACACCTAAATAGCAGTAAAATACAATTTTTTCGACTCACCGATGTTGGGAATATGAATCGTGAGTCGACTGTCAAACTTGCTTACAGTTTTATCGGCATGATTTTGTGCATTTGTGTGTTAAAAGTGTATGACTATGCACGTGTGAAATTGCTGCCTAGATTAGCACATGTACCGCGCTAGAGGTCCATACGCAGTATTGACTCGCTATGCTTTGCTGGAGTGATATACATGTACAATCCTACCCACTTGTTTATACATGCTCACGCGGGCAGCCATTTTGAAATGCCCAACCATGCACGTATTTCATAACCCTTTTCATCAAAATACAGTTCCTAATGCACCTCAAATTATCACAAATTAATAATCATACTATTCTCTAAAATCCTAACTACAGGATTTGGCACAAATTAACACTTACAACATTGGGCTTCGACAGGATTGACTTGAATAATAATCGGTGGAATCACTGGGTAAATCTTCCCACTCACAGAAGAATTTGCTGTCCGTAGTGGTAAACGCCCCCACCGGCCAAACTAATATGTACAAAATGACGACTGAATTCTGTCCGCAATGTGAACAGCGATATTTACTGACAACATTCCTATTGAGCTTAACCACTTGATCACACAATTTCTTGTTTTCTTCCCGTGATACGTCAAAATATGTTTAATTACAAACTGAAAATCGCTTTAAACTTTCTGTATTAGATTAGATTTATCATTCACAATCATGCAAAATATTTAATCGTCGGAAAATATGAATGCAAGTTATATACGTAATATACGTATCCGCCCCTTCCCCATCCTCAGTTCTCAACCGGGTCACCTTGACACAATTTACATGAAAATTGCTGCTGCATGCCTGCAACAATTGAGTCCTATTTGAACATTTGAACTATACCTCATAATCATATACTCTAGCGCGCTAATACCCTGGTTAGTTTACCACTTTACCGTCAATAGTTTGAGTACATTTTGGATTTTGTTTGACTTGTTTTCAATTCCATGTGTATTTCCCGAACCCGTATTTGCACTCTAATATGAATTTCAAGAATGGAAACACAACTGTTCAGTGGCATAAATCATTTACCGAGGAGGGGCGTTGGGGGGGGGGGGGGGGGCGGGGTTGGGATGAGGGAATGGTCGCAGGCACAATCCATTGCTGGTGTGCGTAACGGTGTCTGCACTCTATAACCGGCGTAAGCAATTCAGGCACTACTTGCTATTGATGGAAATAAAACAGAAGAAGAATCGAATGAAATAATGTCAATTGTCTGGCTTGTGGTCTGAACTTTAACCTAGGAGAGCTTTTGTGGACGAATTGAAAAGCATGTAAAGAAAAATATTTTGCCATCGTTATGCATGAACAATAGAGAGACATCAGTGACGTATCCAGGGGCCGGGGTAGTCTGCAGGCACAGACCCTAATTTGACACTTTTATCAAAAAATCATTGTGCCTTGAGAGAAGTCTCGCCCAGTTACCTACTGGTTGTGTCAGTATACAGCTACAGTACATGGCCTATGGTAGTCTTATAGTGCAGACTCACTTTTACGACTGACCAGGGTTTGTGCTTGCAGACTAGGGCCGGGGTGCTTTCATATGATATATTATCACAGCCATCCATAACTCGCTTCACTGAGCACCAATGCATTGAACATGGCATGCACAAATCCATTTGGAGAAAAAAATGAAAATGTTTTGATTACAAGTAAGCATAACCTGAATACAATGTAAACGTGAAAACTCAACGAGAAGTTCGTTGCATGCGTTTCTTTAAATAATAATGAGGGAATTAATGGTTATGAATTAAGATTTCTGCATTTTTCAGAAAAAAAACTTTTTCAGAAGAGCAAGGCGTACAGTCAGGTGAAATTTCAGCAAGGATTAAAGTAAGGATGATCGTTTACATGATACATGGGAAAGGTATACCCCAACGGGCACCTGTAGGCATAACATGAACTATCGGAATATTTTTTTCTTCTTCTCGGATGGGCACTTTTTTAATAATAAAAAGGACACATTTGTATTGCTCTAAGGTTAGTAATTGATTTGGGGGGGAACTAAGGGTGTGTGCCCCTGTCATCCCGGAAATGGGTATTGCTTAATTAACAGTCCATAGTGATCCAATCACAACGGAATACTTTTTAAATGCTTTTCATAAAAATGATCATTTGCTTTCACACCATAATCAAACCTTGACTTCCATGAAATTAATTGAATAATTATGTAAATAATTATGTTCGCTTCAGGATAACTCTTACGGAAATTGTCTCACTGCTTTCGTAAATACATGTAAACACTTAGTCTCTCTCAATGTTTGCTCTCTAATTGTGTACGAGGCTCTAGTCTCCATCGTACATCAACCACACAAGACCACCGGTGATTATAACAGAAAAGATGAGTCGATGGATTTCAGTTCCAATCATTAACTTTTATTTTAGGAAGAAAGGCACCTCTCAGGAAATGGGATATACCAGCGTTATGTTGTTGTATTTAATACCATTTTATAACACTCTATATCATTTATTTACAAGAGAATAATTTTCTTAAAAAATTGATAATCTATTTTCGCAGCATATTTTGACTTCCATGAAATGATCTTTTTAATAATGTACGCTTTTAGGAATTCTTACATTAAGATGTATAGCATTGTGAATTGGATACGAATACAAATTTACACCTTAAAATCCCTATGTATAGAAAGAGAACTAACCCACAATCTAATCGCACCAGACTGATAAGTAGACTTGTTTCAATCGTATTTAAACGAAACTAAAACCTTCATACTAAGTTACTTTTATTGTAAAGTTTAAGAATTTTAAATAAAATCAGTGAAAATTTAAACAAAATCGGGCAAGGAATAAGGAAGCTAAAGCTTTTTTAAATGACTAGTCACGAGAGGGCGATATTCAATTTGATGACATCATTTTGTGGACAACTCTCCATCATGCCTTTTGTACATCAAATTTCACAATTCTTTCGTTTTCTTCATATTTATTTGTGTTCTTGATCCGACTTCATGTCGGATGTTTTTTAAAATAATTTAATCTGTCACTAAATTAAAATAAAATGTAATAACATAATTAATAAACAACAATATAACTATGAAATAATTATGTTATCATGGAAATTGAGGGACATATAAAATTATTCCAAAATATATTCATATGGTCACTTGGCATTCTATCCTTAGTCGGAGAAATAAACCATGGACTAAAGTTAGTCCACTTTCGAGAATACCACCCCATGCCTTTTGTACATCAAATTTCACAATTCTTTCGTTTTCTTCGTATTTATTTATGTTCTTGATCCGACTTCATAACATGTGAAGTAGAATATCATTTTGCATTCTATACCTTGCTTTCAAGAGAGTAGATTATCTCAATGACAAGAAAGAAGGAAAAAC